GATCTGATGTAAATTAATTTCATATTACTATTTTTATATAGGGGTAATTCTATATATCACTTAATATTAAGAAAAAAACAAATATAACAAATGGGGGATTTTAATAATCACATTACTAAATTTTGATCCCTGAAATTTTTGGTAATATCAATGTTCACTTTGTCTGGTTTTGTTGCAGCATGCCCCATATAATTTATTTTAAAAACTTCAGATTTACTTTGATCATGCAAACACAAGTATAAATTAAACTTGTTTAGTAATGAAAAAATGCCAGAAAAGTCATGCCATGGAAAGGTGATGAAAGTAAAACACAGGCAAAAGATGTTGAAAAGCTACTGGTATCACAATCATACTACATGATAATGCAATTGTGGCATTGAGCGAATTTCAATAGTATAATTTGTGATATTATGTTAACTTTGTTGGTTTTCCCCCAAATGATTTAATTAATATTATACTTGTATGTGGCAGAAAATATTTATGTGTATATATGAATGAATGATTGAAATGATTAAATAATTAATACAGATAGATAGTTATATACACATTTATATATTTAACGAATCAATCCATCCAATTTGAGTGAGGACTCCAAGTTTCCTTTTTGCCTGATTAATGGTGAATTAAAAACCTTCCAGAATCTCAAGGTATTATCATCACCACCTGCCCCTGTCACAATATCTTCTCCATTTGGTGAGTGACTCATGTATAGAACCCGATAAGTATGACCTTTTAAAGTTTCTATTTTTTTCATTGATGGGTACTTCCAAATATAGATATCATTTTTCCACCAGCCATGTGTAGAAACTATTTCATTCATAATTGATGACCAATGTAAATTGCAAACCTACAAATATAGAATATGAAAAATAAAATGGTATTTTAAATAATGATGATTCATATAAAAATAATAGTTACTAATTATTAATTGATTTGCCATGCCTGAGATTTTGAATCACGTCTCCCTAAGCATTTTCCATTTAAAGTATTCCAAATACAAATCTTTCTATCAAAGTGACCACCACCACTAACCAATAAATTACTTTCATGTGGGCTCCATGATAAAGCTCGAATTGCAGCAGTGTGACCACGAAGACTGTAAATTGGGTTATGTTTTCTATTCTCCCAAATAAAGAGTTCATTAAGATTGCTACCACTTGCTAATTGGTTTCCTTCAATATTCCATTCTAATCCACAAATCTATTAAAATCAACATAATAAAAATTAAAAATAAAAATAATGGCAATATTTTACTAATAATAAATACTTCAGAGGCATGCCCTGGAAATATTTGAACATAATCTTGTTGACATCTTATGTCTTTATGCATAATAAATTTATCCCCACTTCCTGACGTAATTATATTATTATTCCATGAAAGAGTGCCTAAGCATAAGTCCTTAATTAATTAGTATTTTGTTGTTCAACAAAAAATTTTTTTTTTTGACATTACCAACTCGTTTCATATGTCCATTCATGTCACGAATTTTCGTGAGTGTTTTTAAATCCCAAATTTGTACCCTTCCATTTAATGTACCCACTGCAAGGTTCATATTCTAAAAATAATAATTAATTGATTAGTGTAAAAAGGATTCTATATTAATTCCATGTATATTTTTTGAAGATCACTCTCTTCTTGATATTTACCATCTTGGACCATTTGACAGACGTAACTGTAGACTCTATGTTTAATGTTTGTAATTGCATCAACTAATTAATTATTTAAAAAGATACATGCTAAACATATTATATTATATCTTAAACTTTAACATATATTTATCAAGCATATGAAAATAAAAACTTTACCCGTTTTGCGCCACAATTCCAAAGATGAACCATCGAATCTAAACCAAATCCTAGCACGTCAAAAGTAGACCAGTCAAGAACATTCAAGTAAAAATCGTCCTTTAAAATAAAGCAAACAAACAATTATCATTATTATTATTCAGATTTGTTAATAAACAAAAAAATCTTTTTTAATTATTTACTTTAATAGGAACACTATTATGAAAATTCCATGCTTGATATGGTTTAGAATCAATATGTCTGTATGCTTTCTTTTTAACAGTTAACAAATCTTCAACATCATAAGAAAATGGTGTGGTAGCATAAACATCATTATGAACATCATAAGTGAAAGAAGAAGGTAAATTGTTATTTGTTGAAAGTTGATATTTGTAGAATTGATTATTATTATTGATAGTTAGGGTAGCCTTATTATTATTAAAATTGCTATCATTGTTGCTATTATCGTTATAATTTTTGATGTTATTGTCAGTTATTGTGATTTCGTTAATTCGTTTATAAATTTCTTCATCAATCGATTTAGTTGGAAATATGACTTTTTCAAGTAAAGTTTTACGAAGATGTTCCGCGTCTGTTGAAAAAGGAAAAAAACAAAAGATAATTAATATCATGTCTTCATAAACATTACATTATAAATTCTTATATATGTGCGAAAATGATGTGAAACCTTCTTCATCGGAATCGATTACTATTCTTTTACGTTTTAATTGAAATTTTTTGTTAATCAAGGAAACCTTTTGTTTTTGAAATTCTGAAATCATATTGTTATTTCTAACTGGAATATATCTGAAGATAACATTTTATATTCATTATTAGCAAAAAAATCAATAATTTAAATATTTGAAAATTGTCGACGCGTATTACTTACCTGTCTTGATATATTAATTTCTTTGGATCTTTGTTTCTCTGATAAATGTTGTCGTTAATCGTGTAACTTAATGCTTCAGTTGATATTAAGGAATCTTTAGGCATCGAGTTATAATATTAAAAAAAAATGAAATTGTTTAATTTAAAGGAGTGTAATAAGTGTAATAGTATATAATTGGATTTAAAGGATGTATATTTTTTTAATTTATTAAATTAAAGAATGTTTGTTTTATTTTTTAATTTTATAACACGAAAGAAATTAAGCTCGTCAATTGATAAATGTGAAGATTTTTTATCATGATGCAATATTGTGTAAAGTTACTTTTTAAATGTAGTTTGATTTTCTTTATAAGGTTTTGCGCCATCATGTTTAAACGATTAGATGACTTAAATATTTTCATTTTGTTGTAATCTTTTAAATCTTTGAAGGCTCTCCATTTTATCGTTTTCTTGTATATAAATAATATTCCCCATTTCCTTCTTGTCTCGATCTATAATCGTTGGATATTTTAATCACAATGCGTGATAAATAATTTTTTGTCATACTTTTTAAAACTCTCAGAAGTCACGTTGTTACAAAAAGGAATCAAACACAAGTGAACATATTTTTTTCTAAAAAAAATCATCGATTTATTATTTTTCAAGCTCTAGCTTAGACAAAGATTACTCTTAACATTAACTAATAAATATAAAATAGATCAAATTATAAAAACATGTCAGAACTACAATCTCAATCAAATCAACCACCACCATCTGAAGGAGATAATACAAATGATAAAAATAACAGTAACAATAATGGTGGTAGTGGTGGAGCCAAGAAACCTGATGAACATATTAATCTTAAAGTTGTTGGAAATGTAAGTTACTTTTTTATATATGTTATATAGTTTCTTAAGAAAAGGTTTTTGTGATAATCAAAATGTTATAGCACATTTAAAAAAGAAGCTATTTAGTCAATATGTATATATGAATTAAACACGCGTAATATAAAAAGATAAACTTGTTAAATATGACGTGTAATAATGTGTTTTTATGTTTGATTATATTGTATGCTAACAATAAATTGATTATCTATCGTTATCATTATCGTTATTATTATTAGGAACACAACGAAGTCTTCTTCAGAATCAAAAGAACTACTCAATTAAAAAAACTGATGGATGCTTACTGTGAAAGACAAGGAAAATCTTTAGCATCACTTAGGTTTCTTTATGACGGTGAACGTGTACAAAGTCACAATACACCTGCAGAGGTATGTATTATTTTTCTTGAGAAATACTTATTTATTTATGGGGTATAAAAAGTTATAAATCAAAAAAATTTTTTTTTTAAATAATTAGTTGGATATGGAAGATGGTGACTCTATTGATGTTATGGTTGAACAAATAGGTTTGTGATAAGAAACAAAGTATTATCATTATTCAATTTAAATATTAAAATCAGATTATTAATTAATTTATTTTCTTGAAATAGGTGGATAAAAAAAGCGAGTGATATTACATATATATAAACATTATTTGTGCTTAATACTCCATTCACATACTATTCTTTATTTTTCACATATAATGTTTAATTTTCTTACTTGGCTCACAAAAACCTCAAGTAAATATTATTACTTCTTTCTTATTTTTATTGTTAATACTTTTATTAGTAAATATGGGTTTCTTTTTTTTTGAGAAATATAATATATAAAATTGAATAAACATATATTGTTATTATTATCATCATAAAATTTAATAAATTAGTGTTAAAAAAAAATATCAAAACAAATTTATATATTACAATAATAACAGCATTATCATAATAATAATAATAATAACAATAACAAATAATATGTTAATTAATATACTCGCGTATGTTAAAAAATTTTAGTATATTAAAGCCATCATTAAAAATTCTTAGCTTTATTTTTAGACATGCTATTATTACTATTTAATGTGAAAATAAAGAAGCAAGAATTAACTAATAAATCAATCAACCGGTAAGATGCGTCATTAAATAATTTTTTAATTTCTTATCACAAAGATCCAACGGAGTTTTCATTTCGTCATTTTCCATATCAATAGAGGCACCATTTTCAATCAACAACCGTGCAGTATCTCCATGTCCTTCTTCACATGCCAAATGTCTAACAATTAACCATGTTATTATTTCATTGATAATATATGAATAAACAATAACAACATATGTGCATATATTGTTTTTAACTTACAGAGATGTATTCTTGACTTTATCAGGTACATTGAGATTTGCTCCATTTTCTATCAAAGATTTTGCAAATAAGGAATATCCATGTACTGTACAACGATGACTACAAAAGATCAAGACAACATTTATGAATTCAAAAGGTCGTTTTTATTTCATCATCCAAATTGTTAATTGTTATTACATACAGTGGAGTTTGATTGTTTTTGTCTTTAATATTGACTTCTGCACCTTTTTCCAACAAAAATCTTCCGATCTATTTTTAATAATAAACAATTCAAATATTAGTTTCATTTCTCTACCTAAAAATTTAATTATAATAAATCTAATTATGTACAAATAATATCAAATTATCTTTACTTCAAGCTTATTTTTTGAAGCTGCGTAATGCCTAAAAGAAGAAAATAATTGTCAATTCATCTAAAAAAAAAACATACATAATAATTTTTCAAAGTAATTTAGCAATCATTTGCAATATTATGATATTTTCAATAGAAGGGGTTATTATTATTGAAATTTTTTTTTTGGAAATTTGACATACCAGCAATCAGATTATTCACACCTCATATGGTTCATAAATAATTCATATATATATATATATATATATATATATATATTATTAATTATATTATTCTTATTTTTTTCTTTTAGATTGATATATAATTATATTTACAAGGGAGTTAGTCCAATGTCATTTTGACTATTGATATTAGCTCCTGCTAGAACCAACTTTTGCACAATATCCAGATTTCCTGTGGATACTATTTAATGGACAATCAGAAATATAAATATTTGCGCAAATATATTAATATTTTTAAGATGAATAAAAATGATAGAAGATACCTGCAATATGTAAAGGAGTCCAGTTTGATTCATCTACAATATTAACATTTGCTCCTTTATCTATCAAATACTCTACAATATCCAAATGCCCACCAGATGCTAATTGTATTTTTGTAGTGAGTGTTTCAAAGTAAAAAAATAAATATTACACTTGATAGAATTGATTTTTTTATGCACTAAAAATAAACAAGTAAGTTTACCAGCCCAGTGTAATGGAGTTCTTTGATCCTGATCATTTTAGTAAAAAAATTATTAAATTATCATTAATGAAAGTGAGGAAGCACATTACAAACGTAATAGAGTACCTCGTCTTTTGAATTGATGGCATTAGGCTCTTTCTCTAAAACTTGTTGAATAATAAATAGTTTTCCTTCAAAGGAAGCTTTATGAATACTGTCACTACTTTTACTTTTGTTTGTGGACATTTTTTTCTGCTGTAGCAATTTTGAAATATAATATATAGTAGATTCAACGTAAAGGATCATCATTTTTTCTTTTTATTTATTATCTATAACTTTGATTTAATATTAACAACATTATCATTATAACGTGAATAACCATAAAATACAGGATTAAATTTAGAAACATCATAAAATGAATTTGAATTATCGACAATATAAATATTATTATTATTGATATTAGATTTTAACATATTATTTTTATTTGAAATATTTTGAAGCGACAAAGAATAATTTAATGATTCTTGTGGAAGCATTGAATTTGTATTATTATTGTTATTAAAATCGTTATAATATCTTCTTTGCTGTATAATTATTCCTGAGAAAGCTGGATGATGCACTGAAGAATCTTAAAAAATATTATTGAATTAATTAACTTATTTTTTAAAAATTATTAAAATTACTATATTTATATTATTAACTCTTACTGCATGTAAATTTTGAAATATTATTACCTGTTGAAGGTCGGTGATAATTAGTTGAAGAGTTACTATTTGAAAACATTATAATATATTTTGAAAAATAAAAAATATTTTCAACTTTTTATATATTAATATATATTATTAATATAGTATATAATAGTGACTTCAAGAATCAAATTCAGGGTTCGAATTTTCTCATTGGGGTGGTCGATCAAATATGCAGATTAGTTTGAAACTTTTCTTGGATATTAAAATTTTTTATTGATATGTCTATTATTTATATAGAATGACAATAATAATAACAATCAATTATTTCTCCCACCTAAGGTTAATATAATATGTCATTAATATGGTCGTTATTAAAAATTTGACATTTTACAAAGCGTTTTTCAAACTGTGATTGGATAATTAGCTATAAAATATTATGGAATAGCAATACTAAAGTATGTGTGTGTAGTTATTAAGTCTTTGATATGGGGCATGCTGCAACAAAACCAGACAAAGTGAACATTGGTATTATCAAGAATTTCAGGGATCAAAATTTAGTAATGTGATTATTAAAATCCCCCATTTGTTATATTTGTTCTAGTGCTCAATTCCTCATGAGCATAGTAAAGTACATGTTTTAAAAAAGAATAGAACTCTACAACAAATAATTTTTTGAGAAAATCTCTCTATTACATTAAAACTAAAGACCTATTCTATCAACTAATAATGCTATTTTTTTAAAAGGTAGGATAGAAAGTGACTTCTATACTTTTAAAATTTATGCAAAATTTAGGAGGTCTTTAGACCGAGCCAACTATATATTATTGGATTTTATATTAATTATCTATTTATTGGACACGTTGTGAGAATTCACATGCTCACAATGTAAACTATTTCTTTTAATTTAACCAATAATTCTATCTATTGTCTATCATCAATGTGATTCAAAGCATAAGAAAGAGTTGTAAATTCATTATGCAAAGGCTTCATAATTACCATTTTCCAACCACCAGGCAAATTGTTCACTGCAATTAAGGTTGGTGCTATTCCTTGACTTGCACAAAATTCGTGAACTTCTGCACCATATCTCCAGGTAAATTTAACCAATAAGCATTGATTTTGTCCATCACATGAAGTACTTTCATCATTATTTTCTTTGATCATGAAAAGAAGCTCTTTACCTTCTATATGTTCAATATATTGAAATGATATTTCTTCATTGTTACAGGTGAATGATCTAAAGTAAGGAAAGCTGAATGGCCTAAGGCCTCCATTCTCTTCAAAAATTGATGGAAGTTCTAGATCTTGATAGTAGTCTGCTAGTTCCTGCAGACCTACCTTCAGTGAACACAAAATACGCACAATGTGGATCATTGTTTCTGGATCATGATTTAATGAAAAAAGCAGAACCATAGGAGTAAGTGGGTCTACTGTGAAATCTTTACCAAACACAGCACCAGCTATTCCAAGATATGGTCCAGATAAATATAGTAAGAAGACTGGATTGAGACCATATTTCATCTTTGTATCTTCATTCTCGCCAATATATTCAGCATAAGAGCTACATGCTTGAATGTAAGGATAGCCTTTTCCACCACCCATTTCATTTTTCCCTTCTCCAATTAACAAAAGAAATTGATTACTTGATTTAGAAAAGTTGATACCTATGAATGATCCCTTGGAAGTGGGAATTTTTTTACTGGCATACCAAAGTAATTTGATGCCCATTCATGAAACTTTTCAAGTCTGCATGCTTCTTTCAGATAAAATTTTATCATTATGTTTAAAAATTCTTGGACTTGATTGCAATCTTTATCTTCAATATTAATCTTTGAGCAGTTTGTCTGGAAATGAGTGAATGCTGGATGGTATAATGTAATTGGTATTGCTGCTGCAGATGGACAATGATTCATAATTAGTGGACTTTGAAACTTTTCCCATTTTCCATCCCTACAGAAACTTGAAGGTGTGGGCATCTCTTGTTTAATACACTTCACTTTTTGTATAGCTTCGGTATATGTGTAGTTATCACTTTCTTCTAATATAGAAATATTTATAACTATTCAAAATTCCATCCATTACTATTACCGAAAGTCATCAAATATTCATAATTCCTTTTGGAAATTTGATTATTCAAAAATGGGATTAATGATCAGAAACACTACTATAGACTAGAAACTAAAAATTATTTAGCACCTGACACATTGCAAATAAAGCACATTATGCTTATTAAAAACACTAATAAGATTTAGCTAATGGAAACAAAGATGAGATTTTTTTGGTTTTCATTCAAGTATATGTGGCACTGCCACATTCAACATCATTAAAATCACTTAATTTCATTCACAAGACAGAAAGTAATAGTTGATGTGAAAAAGTAAAGAAATAATTGTTAATTGTATTTCAAGAATAGTGGTTTTTTAAAAAAGAATAATTAACAATCTAGATAGATGGTGATAACTACTAATAAACAAGGATCAATGAATTAAAATGGAGGAACAGCAATAATGGTAAGTGAAAGAAATTACTATTTCAAATAGATGCTAAAAAATTACAGGCTGAGGCAAAGAGGAATGTTAGAAATAGAAGCTGAAGAGGTTCTAGAATTTCAGTTCAATAAAAGAACAATTTTAAATAAAAATAATTATGTATTTTCAATGTTTTATGAGTTTGAAAATTTTTATTTATGAATTTTAGTTATTGATTTGAAAATATTTTCATTTATGTTGTTATTACTAAAATTTTAAAATTTTGTAATTATTATTAACATTACTAAAGTAAAAATTAACATTAAAATAAAAGATTACATAATTGTAATTGTAGGTTTGTAGGCAATAATGAATGAACATTAAAAACTATATGAATCAATTTGTTTTAACTTAAACAACTTTAAAATAATTTTGCCCAATTTTGGCTAATAACAAAAAATAGTTTGGGCTTATAAAAAAATAATTTTTGCCCAAAGTATTTGGGCAATTTCGGCTGCTGATAGAAGCAGTTTCAGCCAGAAACCTTATTCGCAATGTATACTTTTCCAAATAGTCCTTCTCCAATAATGACACCAATTTCGAAATTTTTAACATTTAATATTTCATTTGCAAATTGTACTTTTTTTGTTTTCTCATTACCATTAACAATATTTTGATTTTTATTTGTACTAAAGTGAGTAAAAAAATAAAGTTTATTAACTATATAGTTTGCATTTATTTTAATAATATTAGCTAGAGTAACAACACCATTCTTTTAACAATAACTAGAGTGATGACGAGTGGTGGGTGACAACCACCACCACCATCCTTAAAAACACTTACCCATCAAGTGCCTCATGATAATCATTTTGTCTGCTTCTATTTCTATCTTTACTTTTGTCTTTTGGCATGCTTATGTAAATATTTTCAGGCTTTAAATCAGTGTGTACCAATCGTAATGAATGCAAGACTATATATATATATATACATATGTAGATAAATGGGCAAATCCAAAGTAAATATTACTTTCCAAAATAAAGAAGTTTGTGATTTGATCAACATGAGCATAGCGGGCTTAAATTTGATTGGTTGATCGACAAGGTACATAATCAATAGAGTTCATTATTAAATTTTTCGTCA